ATATTTAAAAAAAAACAAAAAACAAACAACCTGTCAAACCTATTGTAAGTCATACATTAAGTTCTTTAGTAAAATAACCGAGTGCTTAGTCTTATTTATTTTATTTTTGCAAATTACTGAGTTGACACACACCTGAGTCAATTTTTGTGTCTGAGAATAAATCGAGGATGTTCCGGTTGGAAGCTTATCATAACTATCGAGGGGAAAGTCGGGTTCCGATCTTTTCATGAATTGCGTCGGTTGAAGGTTATAAAAGGCTATCACTTCGAATGTAAATGGGCACCAGTCTTCTGACTAAGATTTTAAAGGTTTAATTTAAATATTGATGATTATTACATTAAAATAAAAAATGAATAATTTTACATTCAGTTTTAGCAATATTAATAATGCATGTAATTAGTCAGATCCGCATTGCATCACAAGCTGCCGGGAGTCCTGGAGAAATTATTAGAAGCCATCTATATATATATATATATATATATATATATATATATATATATATATATATATATATATATATATATATATATATATATATATATATATATATATATATATATATTCTGGATCGTGAGTCTGTTTATAATAAAATAGCTCCAATGGGAAATTATGAGATAATAGTGTGCTGACCGTGTTATTCACTACTCAAAATAACTTTTTTATTGCAAAAAATACAAAGCTTAATCCGAGAGGCTATTTTCAGATCTCCATAATGTCGAAGAACTCGATTATTTAATCAGAATGCGTCGCGATTAAACATTATGTCCTTATGAAAACTGATCACGTATTTTTGTTCCTAATTAACCCTTTAAAATACATTAAATCGCATATAAAAGAAAACTATTGTTACTATATTTTATTATTTAGGCATTTTATTGTTTCTTGCAAAGAAAAGAGCAATGGAACTGAACATTGCGTTATGCTACTATTACGGTCCCTCTTTTGCAATTATGAGGTACACAACATGCCAACATAATTTTAGCTATGGCATTAATACTAGCAATGCACGTACTTGAGTCATTTAAATTGGAAGGAAAACGAGAGAGAGAGAGAGAGAGAGAGAGAGAGAGAGAGAGAGAGAGAGAGAGAGAGAGAGAGAGAGAGAGAGAGAGAGAATATATTGCAGTTGAAATCACACCTAAACAACTGCATATATGCAATTTAATACAAATTTAAATTATGACTAAATAGTAGCAATGGTTCCCACTGTTCCCATTTTGCATGAAAATTTCTTTCCTCTTTGATATGACAACGGTATATTTTTCTATGTATTTTTAAGACAATTTTTGTCAGGTATGTCTCATTTATCATAAAACAGCACGCAAGAACAAAAATAAAATGACATTTTTCTCATATACCGTCTGTACTCGCCTATAAGACGCATGTAAGCTGAACACACCCAAATCTGACCATTTTTATAGACGGTAATTACAGGTTTATCTCCACACGAGCCATTATAGGGAAGATTCTCCGTACATCTAGAAGTCAGCAGTAAATATAATTCCATAATTGCTTTCCATTTTGATGAAGACATGGCACGTGCTCGCTTAATGTCTTTTTCAAAAAGATAACAGATTATTTCCGTAGGAGTTTCTAAAACATTTCTGAGTATAAGAATCTAGTGTGCAAGAAAATAAAAGAACAAAACCGTAATTGTGATTTCATTCTACTAGTGAGGCAAACATTTCTTTAGTGAGTTAAATCACAGGTTATGTTTGAAGTATTAGAAGAACAAATCTTCATGTATTTTTGTAGAAAGAGTTATACGCCTCTTTGTACATACATACATACATACATACATACATACATACATACATACATACATACATACATACATACATACATACATACATACATACATACATACATACATACATACATACATACATACATACATACATACATACTACAGATGAATTTGAGTGAAAGGTATTTGTACAAACACAGACCGGTAGAGGAAGATCGGTTTTCCCCTTGTTTCGATCATATATGTACAGTGTATGTATGAATACTTAATTTTGATTGGATGCTGTGGCTTGTAGCCGCATCCAATGAAATTCACAGAACGAAGCACATAAATAAATGCTCGATACGCCAAGATAAAGAGTCATCATATTGGAACTTTGGCTGGCGAAGACGGACGTGCAGGTGATGGTGGGCAGATATAAACAATGTGATGTCTGAACCATGTGCAGTTAAATCAAGCATGTGTAAATAGAAAGACACGGTTAGTACAATGGTAGACTTTATTGACACACTAGCTGTCAATGTTAATAGATGACTGGCATGACTCAAATGACAGAATAATAACACCAGGCATATAATCTGTCACGACATATAAGCAAAGTGTTGCTTGTCCTCCAAGTTCGAAGATGACCATGGCATCACTAACTGGTTCGATTTCTGCATATACGTGGGTGAGTGATGAGGTAAATGTGCCCTGTCTGTTGCACACTTGACAGGAGATTCCGCTTGAGTTTGCTTGGTCAATACAAGACGTGTTGCGATTCTGACATTTACGTCTCTCACGTTTCTGCATTGGCTCTGCAATTCTCCAATTTTTTCAAATATAAACTAAATGCACCCATGATATTAAAATGGTTTGAAGCCTATTATATTCAGAAAAATATTAAAATATTGCAAGCATCAATAGAAAAAATGCATCTTTCTATTAGGTTATGTCCCAAATAATTTTATTGAAACTGTCAGATCTCACAAACACGTCATGAAAGCCAAGTTTCGCAGGCGCTTTATGATTCATAGCCCTCTGACGTTTAATATTCGCAACTATATTAAGTGACTAAACCAGCCGTGTGCAACTTCCTCCAAGGTGCTTGCGATGATTTAATGTACCAGTATGATGCAAATGAAACCGGATAAAACCAGGTCGGTGGCCTGATGCAGTCTGTTTGTCGCACATAAACAAACACGCAAACAGAATTTGAAGGAAGAAACATCTTTCCTTATGAATAATTTGCTTGCATTACGTGTATAGAATAATTACCTAAAATGTGCATTATCAGCGATGAAAGTTAAATCGGTACAGTCACATATGTACCAGTAAAACATTTATGTCAACAGGGCTCACGAAGGGAGGGGGAGCAATCGGGGATATATCCCCGGGACCAGAGACCCGGGACCTTAAGGGTGCCAGGGACGAACAACACTTCTTAATTTTATATAAAAATAATTGTTTGAATAAGAACAAGGACAGGCCCAGGTGTTTCTAGGCCCCGGTGTTTTTTACCCCAGGGCTCGTTTCTCGAGAAAGCCGTATCAGTAAGGCATTTATGTCAAGTTAAGCAGTACCAGTTATGATATTTATTGCTGGTAGGGGTAGGGTGTGTGGGGTTGGGTTTCGGTAGCGTATTGGTAAGAGTTAAAACTTACTTGCAGAACTGGCCACTGGCCATTATTACGGTTTCCATGGATGTGTGTTTATCAGAATGCATGACCGAAAAATGTACACGTACAATAAACCAATATTGTCACAAATTGAAGGAACTAGCTGTTTTGACAGTAGCTTTAGTGGGCGTTATAGTTTTGTGTTAAATGTAAGGGGTTGTACCGTATCTTCAAGATTTATAACCTCACGTAGACCTATATGATTAAAGAGGTGGTTTGTACTTTGGGGACAATGGGAATTTAGCATGGGAATGTAACCTGGAGGTCAATGGAAATTAACATGGGTGACGTCATGGGGTTCATAGGGTCACATTATCACGTGAAACGTATTTATAGGGACAAAGGGATAATAGGGACAAATACAGACATAGAGAAACAAACAAATACACATCCAAACGCATAGAAAAGAGGACACAGATGTTACAAAGAAAGCATCACAGACATAATAGAGCCTCCAAAAAGAAAAGTCTATTGAATTGGTACAAACATTTATTCAAAAACATACATGGGCTCTACGACCTGTGCTTTGGTCTAAGCACTATCCATAATACATATAAATTTGGACACTAACGCAAACCTATTCACAAGTTATTCATTTCTTGGCTCTAGAAAAATACTGTTAAGAAATAAACGTAATGCCTTGAAAACAAAATATACAACGTTATATGCATTTCATAAAAGAATGACATCTTTCATATTACAATTAATGTTCATGTTTGAAAAAAAGTTAAAACAAGAAACAAACGTTCAAATTGGACAAAGTTCGTGCTTTTGTTTAAATCTGGTTAGCTACCACTTGTGTCCCAGCGTATACGTTTTCCATCACGTAGTCCCTTTAATCTGTTGATCTGTTGGTATATCCATTGTGCCAGGTACACTTATCGACAAGCAGATCAATGGTGATTATTGTCTTCTTCCCATGGAGGTACAACGTATGCCATATGAATGGTCACTTTTCCATTAATGATGTCAAATGTTTCTCATCGTTGGCATGTCTTCAATAACCCTCAATAGTTTAGAAGAAGTTAATTCTGCAGGTAAACTAAACTAGAGACATACATGATAATTCAAACTTTCGTGATACATATAGGCTCAAACGACCTCGATCTTTGACTTGACACTGACGTTTGAGTTCCTCTAACAATCAGTCCAAAAAGTATGTAATGAAGCCTGCTGCTTCTTTGGCTAGAATATCTGAGGCAAAGTCTTTAAATTTTACCGTGTAGGTGTAATATATCGCCCTAATTTTTTTTCGAAGTCGCCGTCTGAGTCATTTAGATGCTTAAATACTCCTTTAGGTCTGAGTCATTTGGATGCTAAAATACTCCTTTAGGTTTAGTGAATCCTTTTCCTTCTAGGACGCGGTTTGCTGTGAGGGCATGGTAGTGAAAGTGGTCAATGACGTTTGTTCCTTCTCATTTTTCATCTGTGTAGAGTTATTCATGTTCCTCGGCGTTTTTCCTCGCAATGATGTGATGTGATTGTGATTTTTAACGTATCTTTAACAATATTTCAGTCATATCGCTATGATGTCTTCCGTGTGGCAGTTTATAGTGATGTCTAGCTGTTAGTACTATTTTTGTAAGTCTTTGGTATGACTCGACCGGAGGATCGAACCCACGACCTCCCGCATCCAAGGTGTACACTCTAACCACTAAGGCCACCGGAGTGTTTCCCCCACAATGAAGAGTCGTTCTTAGGAGGCAGGGTACAGTTTCGTAATTTGGCCCCTGGCAAATTTCTTAACTTAAGGCTATGGTGTGACTTTTTCAGCAATTATTGTCGACTAATTAAATATATGGATATATTTGTGAGCTAGGTGTTTCGGGCTTGTGTTGTTCTTGAAATTGACGTCAGGCATGTACACCTTCCATAGTTACTCTGCAATATGTTGATAGTGAAATACCAATAGTTGTCTACGAAGAAGAGCTAGCCTCTCGTAACAGTAAACATGTGGGTTTGGGACAAGAAGCATATCTCAAAAACGGCTTGGATGACAACTATTTTCAACTGCATCAGCCTGTTTAGTACACACTGTTTGGCAGAATTGTAATCTAAGAAAAGGGCTTGTGTTTGCACTGTGAGTACCATATGTGTCAAAAATGACCTTCGGACATGAAAATTGCAGGTATAAATTTGGGGTTGGGGTGCATAAACTTCTTCTGCTATGATCTGCCACTGACTTCTCTGGTCAAGTGGATTTTATGCTTTGTTTTAATATAGGTATCTCAAAATATGGACATTCTTGACTTCACTTGTGTATTTGATTTATTATGATTTTTTTGTACTAGGTCACTGATTGCGGCATTCAATTTATACCTAAAATCTGGCCCCTGCCACCTTAGAAGTCGTCCCTAGTTTGTACTGGGTGATATCAGTCGCCCCATGGTGTGATTGTGTGTCAGTTTTGTAGTTTGTGAAGTGACTAGTGGTCAGGTACAGAAAAACGCGTTTGATCTTCTCGATGTGCGAAAACCATCTGAAACCTAGTTGAAGCTAAGGCGGTTGAAAATATCGGCGTCAATGAAGTCACGTACAATAAGTCACACATTGTTTTGTTCTAATTTCAAGACGGCCAGGAGCAGAAATACACGTCTGAGCTTGCCACCGTGCGAAAAGCTGCTGAAGTGAGTTCGAATCGAGCGAAGTAAGAAAATAAGTATAGCCAATTACATCGTCTATGATGAGTGATGCATTGTTTGTTATAAGGTGGTTTGGTAAAATAATGCCAACGGTCTTGCTTTGTCACCCTTACTCATCTGTACTATTTCTTTTACATTGACTGGCACTCAGTACCCCTTCCATCCCTCCACTACGTCTTTCACCCTTTCACTGTCTTCATTTCCGTTCTTAGGTCTGCCTTCGTTATTCTATCCAGTCCCGTGACCTCTATAACTACTTCTCCCTACTTCGTCATACTTGGGTGGCATTCGGTCCAATCCGAACAACTCCAAACAACATCGAAAGCTTCTCTGTACATAAAAAGGGACGTATGGCCTAGTCTCTCTTTCGACCAGGACAATATTACACCCGCACACAATGTTTCATTATCATAAAGGCGATTAAAATCATTGTCACACATACATTCACATCGAAGTATTCCATACACGCTTGTAGGATATGGGTAATAATACAACAACGTTTTTAACGACTCATAATACATCCATCAACAACTTCCATTACATGAGTACATATATTTAATTCTCGATATAGTATCTACCAACATCACACAACCGGATGGATTCCTTACCTTGCACATCATAAGATGTACACACAGTGTTCAAATACAAATATGCAGATACTTCAAGATATTCTCACAACTATGTATTCAAATTCAAAATAAAAGCAAGAACAAGTCCGAAGCAATGCCTCAATACGATGCACACATCAGCAGATTACTCAATAAATTCTGATCGCTGGCTAACAATCTAAGTAATTCATTATTGTATTCAACTAATTTCTCTACAGAACGTTACGATAGGTAAATAACTCAAATACGTACGTGAGATTAACTTTAATAAAGGTAATTTCTACATTCCAACAATTCTAATGATAAATTTCTACCTACTACATATAAACTTACAACTCTCAGTTCGTAATGTTAAAAAAACTTCGAGCGTAGAATTCTTACCCTCAAGAAACCTTTCAGGTCTGAATTCCCGCGCTATTTTTTAATAATGCCCAGCATTCGGAGTTTGCCTATTAGAATCCACTCCTTAACTTACTAGACCTCTGTGTTGGTCAAACTCCTGGCGAGTACTAAAGTGATCGTAAAATGACCTGTAGAATAAGGGTCTACATCAGACAGGTGTCCCTCCCATATTTTCCTAACTCAGTCCTGATTTGATATTTGGGTCTCTTTGAACTGTAGTTTGCCTAGTTTCTCGTGCACATGTAAAATTTCTTTCTCTCGCGACTAGGCCACAGCTTTGGAGTGAATAAAAACATCTTTCGCTTTTACTAGTTACTTCGTATCTTTGATGATAGCCGCCTCTTTGTTCACTCCAGTGCAGATTCAAGCCGCAATCTTGCGCAACAAATGTCAGTCGCAGAGGTCTTGGCGACGTTCTCCAAAACGTGACACTCGGCGAACACTGGCCATGTGATATCCACAGTATTCTCTACGACCATTCTTTCCATAAGGAATTACTGACCCGATCTTGAGCCATTTATTTTTTGCCTGATACTTAATATATTATTGAATAAAGTCAAGTTGAAGATAATACTTTTGCTAATTATGTAGATGACTAATTCTACTGTTGAAAAACAACTGTAAGAAGAGTATTTTAGTCCAACCGGGCAAAAAACCCAGCTTTCTCAAGGTCGATAATTACACAAGAGACATTATGGAATGAGATAAAATCGTTACCAACCGAGGGTGAAATTAAGAGATTAACAAAAATAGAACCAAAGAAAAGCAGTCAATTTATTTGCCACATCACATCACCAAATCAGAATTTGACAGATTAACCAAATATAAGAAACAAATATCATTTGAGTTACAGTGTATGATTTTAACAAAATGGCGAAGAACGAATTTATCAACGAGGGTGCCTCAATTGTTTTCTTCAACATTTGAGACTGATGGCGATATAATTTTTTATTGATTCCGCCATGAATAACATATAATAGTTAATAATCTTGTTTATATTGTTGATGACATTAAGTATATATTCAAAATATAATGTGTTGCTAGACATGTTAGTGAAAATGGTCTGACTTGGATTATTCAGTTTTCGCAGTTGTTTATGCGCTTTATTGTTTGAATGACTCAGACATAGCTACACTTGCTTCGATGAAAATAGGCTCGCTAAATTGCGTGGTTGAACGTGTCAGAGAACATTCTGAAAACTTCAGACGAAAAAATGGACTTACAGAATCAAGACTTTAAAACTAAATCAGCGGGAAAACCCTCTTATTAACAGAGTTAAAATGAATGGTTTCCTTAGAAAAAAAGCACTGAAGATTCCAATAATCGTAAAAACAAAAACCAATGATATTTTGTACAATTCTGGTAAATACTGTATCAAGTAATGCTCCAATAATGTTGTATGATCATAATTCCCATACGGCTCGGTGACACAATTCCCAAGGAGAGAATAATACGATTTTATGACGACGATATGTACGAGGAAATCAGTAAGCATGACTGTATCGGTCTGGATAATTCACGGAAATGACTGTGTAGGATGAATTAACATTTTGTGAGTTTATTCTGCCATCTGGTATTCCTTATTGGAAGGAATCACTCCAATAAAATATGAAACAATGTTTGATAAAATACAACATAGACTACGATGATTTACTCGCTGATTGTTTTACCGCGTCATATGTTTGGCTCATGTAGCCCAACAAAAAATAAATGGCGTCCAACTCCAAAAGAATGTCTCAATGTATCACAATCCTGAGTTAAGTTTGGCTAAGGCGGTCTTTAGAACACAAAATATAATCCCTCTGACATGATTTCCATTGACAATATCAATGCATATCCGAGGGCTTTTCTTGGACTCGGTGAGTGTCATCGTTAGTTTGAACGATTCGTGTACCAAACGCACGAAATGACTAGAGTTTCCATCAAGATACAACTACCAAATATAAATATTATTGGATTTGTGGAAATTTAATCATTCGAATTTTCAGAGAGTATTCAACCTATGATACCATTTTGGTTTGGTAGACACTTTAATAAACCGAATATCAATGTCAATATCAATGTCTGTTGCATAAGAAATCAGGTTGGCTTGGCTCCCATAGTGATTTTACGATACATACTCGATGCTAAGATTATCGCATCAATTACTGTAACATCTGCTATAGTTTCGTACAAACAACAAAGATCTGTCTGGTTACCAAAGCACGACAAGGATATCTGCAGAATAATTATCGGTAAGTTTACTCAGGGTTAAATGAAATCATGCAAGATGGAACAAACATAGGTACAATAGTTTTGTCTACATCGAGGGCAATTCTTCTCAGTTTACTCATTTTAGATCATCTATGTTTGCCTACTCATCAATAAACCTATTACCAATGATCGACAGATTTCATAATAATACTGTTAGAGTCGCCATTGATTCTTTGTTTATATTACTCGTTGTAGTGTGGATATCCTTGAACCATTTATCGATAATGCCAGCGTTGCTGATTGGGATTCATGGCAATTAAAATACGAACAAATACATAAATCTTCTGAATCCGGCGACGTTAAAACACCTGTTGTTTATTATAGCAATGATAATTTATCAGAACCATCATCGTAACCATCAGTAAACGATCCAATCACAAGACCTACCACGGTCTATCTGAATGGCCCTGATGGTTCTTATAAAGGAACACTTGTGATAGAAGTTTTTAAAAACTCTGACATGATTGTGTTGACTCCAACTCACTGGCTTGCTAGAGAGTGAGACACAAACGTGGTGTCAGCGCATGGACATATAGTTTCTCTAGATGGCGAAGTGATGCATGGACTCTCTAACTAATGGGTGAGAAAAATTTCCCGATAAAATATATCTGGGATGAGAATCGTTTAGTATTTAAATATGTTTTTTAAATGTTCATTGATTGGTTATTAACAAAATCTACTGCAATCATCATGTGTGGCAATCGTGTACAGCTTCTGCTGTTTACTGGAGAATCCCAACACGAATGGTTGATCAACCATGTTATCC